AGAGAGAGAGAGAGAGAGAGAGAGAGAGAGAGAGAGAGAGAGAGAGAGAAGGATATTTAATGCTTTACCATTTGATAAATCGATAACTACTAAATATTTTCGACCAGCTACATTCGTTTCTAGCGATGTGTTTATCGTAACTGTTAATTAACTCAGAAAGTACGTTCTGTCTTTCTGGATAAATAAATAAATAGTGAGAAACGTGTAGCGCTAGAAACGAATGTATCTAGTAAAGAATTTTTAGTAACTATCGACAGTGAGGCATTCGCGGGATCGAATGTTATACAATATCGTCGTTTTCGTCGTGGTCGTATTGGTTTATGGGTTTGTGATGTGACCACGCCGGCATCGGCGCGTAGTTTTCCCGGCGACGTGTCGCCGTCGTCGCCGTGTCCCGTGTGAATTGTCGCGGTCGGAACGTCGGCAACAATTTAACCCATTACGGGATAGTGTCGGAACCGCACCGCGAAATTATTATCCCACGGAACCACTGAGGCTGCACTAATTTTCCATTATCGCTCTGTTTGGATAGCTCGCCCCGTTTCCAGCATTTCGTTTCAATGTCCATGCTCAGCCGTGCTTGGAAAGCCGCGCAAGCATCACTGAGTGGAGAGGCAACACGGTGAGTCTTGAGAAAAAATCCGTAAACGTTAACGAATAACAAGAACGGTGAATTTCATAATTCTATTGTGAGAGGAATCAGGAAATTTTTAATTATGTATTACACTGACAAGTAAACCTACCCAAGTATTACACTCGGATTTATAAGTTTTTAAGCCGATAAGCTTTTAACATGCTGTAGTCGAGATCTAAATAAGAGACACATATTGTTTTATATAAGCCGATAAGAGGGTGAAACACTCTTTTGAAAAATCGGTTTTAATATTTCTGAGCGAATATTATCGGAACGGTAAATAACACAAAAAAAATTTCAAATAAAAGTTTTATAGGTTTTAATGAGCTTTATAACAATGCACTCAGATTTTTCGAAATCCCTTTTTCGCTCCTTAATTTTGTAAAATTTGAGTGCATTGTTATAAAGTTCATTAAAACCTATAAAACTTTTATTTGAAACTTTTTTTTTGTATTATTTCCGATAATATTCGCTCAGAAATATTAAAACCGATTTTTTTCAAGAGGGTGTTTCACCTTCTTATAGCTGGCCACACACACTTTTTGTAACAGTAACCGTAAGACGTAACGTAAGAATTGACCAATCATGTTGAGAATCGTCGAATCGTAAGATCGCTATTTTTATGAATACTCGATCGCAATTGGTTAATTCTTACGTTATGTCTTACGGTTACTGTTACGAAAAGTGTGTGTGGCCAGCTTATCAGCCGTATGGGCACGTAGAAAATATGTGTCTTTTATTTAGACTTAGACTACAGCATGTTAAAAGCTTATCAAAATCGGAATGTAACACTTGGATACTTGTGAGTAAGGCGCGTCAAGTGCGGCGGTTGAATATATCATAAGAAATATTGGCGATCAAAAATATTACCAGGCAAAACTGAAGTGTTTTTATAAGCATCACCTCTTTTTTATATTGATTTTTCTCTGTATCGAGAAAAAAGCATTTGGATCGACAAAAATTGACGATTATTCGCCTTCAATGGAATATTGTGTCTGTTGAACAAATTAGGCGTTAGTGCAATGGGATAAGTTGCTTTAATGCAGTTACTGACTAAATTGCAATCATTAAATTAATTAATAACTTGTCACAGCAAACATATAGTTTGTTCAATCGACTAAACGTTTGTTTGAATAAATTTTGTTTTCTCGTTCGAGCAAAATGTCCCATTCAAATCAATCGCTTTTTCTCAGTGTGTATAAATGTATAATGCCTCACTTTACATGCCTCATCTTGCGTAACTACACGATACTCATTAAGTCACGGTTTTAAAAGCGTGTAATTAGCGTCGTGAATGATTTACTTGTAATATAAGAATAATAACTCGGTATTAGAATGTAAGAATAATAGCTTATTACTATGTCCACAAAGAGAGAGACAGTCTGACACGAGTTGGTCATTAAAATTGACAGTATTATATATGAAAATGTCTTTATGTGCAAAAGAGCTAATTCAATCGTAAAGGGTGCACTGGAAATTTAGCGCGATTCGGGCAATAATGCACGGAATGCGATTGGTATTTCATGGAAAATTCATCGACGCTCTGCGTCGGCGAACCTCGAAACTTTGTCGGTGCGATTCACCAGTGCGGGACCGTGCGCGTATTCTCGATATAAATAAACCGAATTGAGTCGAGAGAGAAGAAAGGGGAGAGTTGAATTTTTGATTAAAATACAGCTGCTGTGTGCGCTTTTTCTATATGTGTGTAAGTTAATGGCTCTCTTTCTCTCTCTTTTTCCTGTAGGTGCAGCTCTTGTTTAAATAACTCTTTTTATTTTTAATATTCGAACTTCCAGAGTAAAATCTCTGGCAAGGCAAGAATCGAATAATGAATAAGATTCCTCCACCGCTACATATTTATTTTATATTGAGAGAGCGACGGGATAAAAGCCCACTTAAAAATTCTATTCTTCGAGTAACTCTCTCATTTCGCTTTTCCCAAGCAAAGATTTTTACAGTGACCGGGATAGAAGGGAGAGAGAAAATTCCTTTCAATTAAGAGTTGAAGGATGGCAAACAGAGAGAGAGAGAGAGAGAGAGAGAGAGAGAGAGAGAACTATATACTGAAGAATTCAAAACAAACTACTAATGACACTGTCGATCAAAATCGCGAGAATCGTGTTTCGATGAAGAAAATGTTGTCGCACTTTAATAAAAATAATTATCGACTATTTCACAAAGAGGGGTAACTCGGGATCTCTTGGGTACGTGAAACGTTCCGTTAGGGAAATCCAGTCACTCGAAAATTGACTTCGTTTGCACGGCAACCTGAAAACTGATTAGCAAGTAAGTAAATTATTCAGTCTTACGCTGCTCATATAAACGCGGATTACGGGTGTTACACGGCTCCATATTAATAGTTATTACTTTTGAAAGTCGTCTCAAGTGAGATACTCATCTTTGAACTCGAAGTTAGATGAGAGTTCTTCAGTTGAATCATTGCATACATAAATGTCACATATCATAAATCAACTGAAAAACTTGGATCTAACTCTGAGCAGAAATCTAAGTATCTCACATGTGAGACAAGTTTCAAATAATGACTATTAGTACAAATTCAAATCGGTTTTAGCTTGACATGTAAACGTAGTCATTGATCACGATCTCGACTCGTATCCTGAGGTGTCGCGTCTGCGAACTTCTTGGCGACTCTCAAAGATCTCAAAAGCTTCACAAATTGTCGGGGAGACGCGGAGGGAATATCGGCAAGGTTTTACCCATACTGATGCCAGAGCTGGACGGATCCTCGTTCTTGGCGCCCCAACTGCCAGCCAGGTTGAGAGCCAACAGCGGCCGCTCTTTCAGCAACTCGGCCACTGAGGCAAGGCCCTCGCACCCACAGCCTAAATGGGGCAAGTGCAGTGCCTGCACTTGAATGCAGCCGCGAAGTGCCTCGCAGACTCGGGACACTTGCTCGCCGGACAGATTCATGTCGAGCACCAGACGCGACAGGCTGCCAGAGGCGTGAGCTAGGCCGCGACAAAGGGCATTCACCACGCATTCCAATCTGAAATCAATCGTTAATGATGCCGTTAAACGGGAGCGTCTTGGGCGCGTTGTTGCGTGCGGTGTGGCCGATTAACGTTAACTCTACAATTCTAAACATCAAAAAGTTACGTGAAAACATGGGTAAATTTTACCCAGAACATTTTAATTCACTCATAATTTTCGGAAAAATGGTTGAAATTCAATGCTTTTTTTTTAAATCAATGTAGAATATATCATATTTTTTTATTTAATTCCATCTCCCTTTGTTATTTTTGCTAATTTTAAATTTTAAATCAAAAGGAAAGAAAAAAGGTCCTATGAGAGAAATACCTGATTGTTGTAGGGTGATAAGAACTAATAAAAACAGTGCATGTCCTCAGAATGTCAGCAAGAATTTAATTGAAATTAAATCGCGAATCAAACGCGTTTGATTTGGTTTTTGTACAATTAAATTTTTCTGTACATTCTGAGGACATACATTAACTATTTTGATTAGTTCTTATTACACTACAGTAAGAAACATAGCAATTGTTTTAATAATATATCTCAGTTGCTAAAATGTAAGTAACACGTATGAAATTAACGAATTACCGCAGAATGTTGATTTCTCCCTCGATTAAAAAGTCTTACAGTAATTTTTACTATAAAATTCTCTTTACTTGCCGTATCGATTTTTATTCGTGTACTTGAGCGCGTTTATCCGCAGATTCCAGCTGAGAAGTGCGCGCGCGCAAGAGTCTGTATTACGCGAAATGAAACGCGAACGGGAATTCCCATCGGTGCGCGTCGTGTTCCGCCGTTACGCTCTCGACAAGTTGGAAAAACTGCCACCGTGGATCCGGGGATCGTCTATAACGTCGCGTGACGCGACGTAGGGCGCCGAAAGGGAGTAAATGCACTTTCGAGGCTGGCTCTACGTCACGGGGATGCACTTTCTGGATGTAACCGCGCGCCGATGTAAATTCGGTCGGCGAGTTCAACGATGTGGAAGTTCGGGCGAGAGAGGCAGGGAGAGGGAGAGGGAGAGGAGAGAGGGGAGAGAGAGAGAGAGAGAGAGAGAGAGAGAGAGAGAGAGA